GCAAAGTCAGAGTTCATTAAGAAAAGGTTCTAACATGGATGTAAGAATCCGAAACAGGGAGAGCGGGAGAGATGGCTCAGCGGTTAAGAGCACTGGCTGCTCTTCCAAAGGACCAAGGTTTCAATCCCAGCATCCATATGGTGGCTAACAACCGTCTGTAACTCCAGTTCCAAGGGGTCTGACGTCCTCTTCTGACCTCCTCAGGCACTACACGACACAGGTGCACTTACTTACATACATGCAGGCAATACACTCATACACATAAAAATATTTTTTAAACGACACATGGAGAGAGACATGTAAGGACAGTAATGCAGGCTCTGCAGAGGGCATGTCCTTCTGAAGAGTCATGGTTGCATGTAGTAACAACGGCCATGTATGATATGGTGGCTTCCACAGTCACATGCTCAGAGGGTTTAGACCATTAGGTAAAAATATCTTGGTAGACCTGTCGGTGTCTGAGGAACTTTTCTTCAGTAAAAGAGCCTGTACAGAGGTTTAAGCGGCCTTTTCTGCAGGGCGGTCATACGACAACAGATGTCAAAGGGTTGATGAATCCTCACTGTTCTCCACAGGGCACCCAAGACATCCCATGCTTTGGGCCAGATCGTTGTCCACATTGTACAGGGAAACTAAGGCATAAAGAGGTGCTTGCCCAAACCCAGGGCTAGAACTTGAAGCTGTGCTTTCTGGTTCTAAAGGTCCTGACCCCCAGACACTGAACCATGCTGCCTCTGAGGCAGAGCCTGAAGGAATGCTCATGGATAAACCTCCACAGGCCATGGGACTGGGTTCCGGCTAATGAGGCATGCGCGCAAGCAATGTTGTTACTGCCAGCCTTAGCGCCTCTGCAGAGCCCTGTGAGTGCTCGCTCTCTCTCTCTCTCTCTCTCTCTCTCTCTCTCTCTCTCTCGTCTTTCACACACACATACACACACACACACACACACACACACACACACAAAATCAGAGGACTACATGAAAGACATTTATTGAGGATTCAAGAAGGCCCAGGGAATCATGGAACTATAGGATAAAAGGACCTGCCTCCACTTTACTCTCGGAGAACTGGTCAGGGCAGCTGCCCAACCAGGAACACCTGTACCTAGAAAAGAACCTGCATCACATGATGTTTGAAACTGAGATCTGTTTGTTATATTATCAATGCCTGGCCTAGTGTTTGAAACAGAGTAGCACTTCATGGTGCAGAGCGTTGGTAAATAAGTAGCACCTTCACCAGCTGACCAAGGCTGACACAGCACCACGACCCCCTGACAGCGTGTGCCTCCTTAAGGGCACAGCATTGCCAAAATGGCATAACTTCCATTATCTTCATAAGAAAACTCCAAGACAGGCTCAGACTAGAGACATTCGAGAAAACAGCTGGCCAGTGATCTTAACTGTCAAGGTCTTGAAACAAAGACTTCAGAACTATCACAGATTGGAGGAAACTGAGGGGACATGAGAAGTGACCAGGAAATAGAACCTGGACCAGAAAAGGGATATGATGCCAGTGTTAGGGAATAACATTGTCTCCATGTTCGCTCCCTGCCTAGTCACTGGATTGTGCTGACATGAGACGTGAACATGAGAAGCTGGGTGTGACGGTGAGCTTTGTCCAACTTCACACAACCTCAAATCACCTGAGAAGAGAGTCTCAGCGAGGGACTGTCTGCATTGGGTTGGCCTGTGGGCATGTGTGCAGGATTGTCTTAAGTCAATTGATATAGGAAGACCCAGCCCACTGTGGGTAGCACCGACACCTAGCCACGGAGTCCTGAACTGTGTCAGTGTGTGGAGAAAGCAAGCCGAGCACAAGCCAGTGTGCAGGCATGCACTGATCTCGCTGGTCTCGACTGTGACGTCACATGACCAGCTGTCTCAGGGTCCTGACACTGTGATTTCCCCACAGCGATGGATTGTAACCTAGAATTGTGAGAGGAAATAAATCCCATTCCCCTTTGCTTTTTGTCTGGGTGTTTTATCACAGTAACATAGGAAACTAGAACACAAATTGGCAGGCACCAGGTGAGGCCATGGCCATGCTAGACCTGACTCTGATTTTTATGCTTTGAACTGTTTTGTGGGAGTAACGGGGGAGAAAAAGCCATTGTTGAATGTTGGAAGCAGAGGTGAACAGGCTGCTTTAGGGGGAGCTTGGAAGAATGCTTAGAAGGACTTGGAGAAGCTTAGACAATCGAGGAACAGACACGCTCACGAACAGGGGTCCAGAACCCTTGTGATATTCTGTCTAGCAGTTTGTGTGTGCTGATGGGGTTGGGGCTGAGGAAGCAGCTGTGACTGTCAAAGACCAGGGCCACTGAAGGGAGACTTTCTGTGCTTCAGTGAGACCATGGGGAAGTGCTCCTGGGGTCAGCGGACTGAACAGGAACCAGGCTTCACCCTCAGCTGACAGCAGAGCTTGCCAGTGCATATCCACGTAGTACTAGTTTTGAAAACATGAAAGACGCAAGACTGAGGGGGTCAGGGAGAGGGGCTGAGGGCTAGTGCCATGTAGCAGGCTCCAGAGGCCCTGGGAGGCCACTGTGTGGAGCTATGTGAAGTACAGCCCTGGGCATTAGAGACACCAAGACCACGGATGTCTGTCAAGGGTTGCTTCAGATGTAGAGCGGAGACATCCTAGGCCCAAGAAAGGAGCTGTGGGCTGCACGCGGCAGAACCAGAGGGGCGGGGCCGCCCAGGTCCTTTGGAACAAAAAGCACATCCCAAGCCCTAGATGGTGGCATTGGAGCTATGAGGTTTGGTATTTGCCCCACTGGATTGTAGGACTTCGTTTCTGTTCCTGTTTTTGATCTGACTGTTCCTGTGATGCCCTAACTCTTCCCTTTTGGAATAAGAATGTGACTTTGTGCCGTCATATGTTAGAAGTATACGAATTGTTTTATAGAAGCCCATGATCAAGAGACTGGATTTTTAAAGACACTTTGGACTTTTTAAATTTATTTTTATTTATTTGTATGAGTGTTTTGCCTGCATGTATGTAAGTGCACTGTATGCATGCAACGTCCAGGGGGGTCAGAAGAGGGTGTCATATCCCCTAGAACTGGAATTACGGATGGTTCTAGCCACCAGGTGGATGCTGGGAACTGAACCCAGGTCCTCTGTGAGAGCAGCCAGTGCTCTTAATCACTGAGCCATCTCTTCAGCCCCATGTACAAAGTTTTAATCTTATTCTTTTTTTTTTTTTTTTGGTCTTTTTGAGACAGGGTCTCCCTGTAGCCCCCGCTGTCCTGGAACTCATTATGTAGACCAGGCTAGCCTCAAACTCACAAAGATCGGCCTGCCTCTGCCTCCTGAGTGCTGGGATTAAAGGCGTGTGCCACCATGCCCAGCAAAGTTGTATTACTTTTACATTATGAAAAAAAAATGAGACTTTGCAGAGGAGTGTAGGGTTAGGGTTAGGTTCGAAAGTGATGTTTGTGTGTCAGGTTGACAAGGGGTGGCATGTGATGTCGGCTTTCCTGGTCAATTCCACACAACCTGGAATCATGGGGAAGAGAGTCTTAACGACGGACTGTCTGCAACAGGTTGAGCAGTGGGCGTGTCTGTGGGAGCCCGTCTTAATTAAGATAATGGATGTGGGAAGCCGCAGCCTGCTCTGGAAGCACCACTCCCTGGGCAGGGGGTCCTGAGCCCTATGAGAGTGGAGGAATCAGGCTGGGCAGGCTGCACTCAGTGCTCCCCCACTTGACTGTGATGTCATGTGACCAGCTCCCTCAAGCTTTGCCACTGTGACTTCCCTGCAGTGATGGACTGAAGCCTGGAGCTGTGAGCGGAAATACACCCTATTTCCCCTGATTTGCTTTCTGTCAGGGCATTTTATCACAGCACCAAAAATGAAGCTAGAAGGACCAGTCAGGCAGACTAGAGGCGCAACCAGCGTTATAACTTTTCAGTAAACTTAAATTTTAAAATAAAGAGCTAAGGTGGGTTGGGGAGATGTCTCAGTGGTTCAGAGCACTTACTGCTGTTCCAGAGGACTCCAATTCAGTTTCCAGCACCCACATGCTGGCTAAAGCCACCTGTGATGTCAACTCCAGGGGACCTGACGCCCCCTTGTGGCCTCTGTGGGCACCCACATGCACATGAACATACACACAGACACACATAAACAATAAAACAATTGGGGTTTTCGAGCTGAGGTAAGTAGGGTGGCACGGCGACACCATCCCAACGCTCGGCAGCTCTGCTCCTGCCGGGTTGTCAGCAGCCCTAACAATGAAGAGCCTCACAGGTTACACCTTCCAATTTCTTTATTACAGCAAACCCCACACATCCCAAGCCAGCCCAATGCCCATCTTATTAACCCTAAGCCCTGTGTGCTTTGGTCTGAATGGCTCCCTGGCCCCCTGGGTATTTGATGGCGCATGAAAGACCAGGTTCGACTTCCTGAGGGAAGGGACTGAGGCTCTGTGGCCACATTCCATCCCACACAGCGCTACAGGAAACTGCTCATCCCAGGCACTGAGCCCTAATGTTCGCCTGAAGGCTCCCATGCAGCTCGTCCTCAGCAGCCCTCCCACACACACACTATTTGAGCCTCCATGGTAACAGGCCCCTAAGGTGACTTTTTTTTTCTTCACTTGCTGTGAGCCTCGCCACAGCCAGGACAACTGTTGGATAACCAGACATCATCCCAGATTGAAAGGCTGCTGGAGCTTCTGTGTTGGTACTAGGATCAGCACAGGGCATGCCGGGGCTGTACGTGTACAGGCAGTAGCATAGGATGCTGGAGGTACAGGGCTGCTAGTGGAAGATGCCAGCAAAGCCAGAGGGTCCGCTTCTCAGAAGCAAGATGGACCAGGAGCCGGGGTATCTTGAGTCCTGAGACAAAGGTGCACCTGTTTCCAAGCAAAGGCTCCACCTGCACCCAGGGGTGGGAAGGGCTAGGCGATGGCTCAAACCACAGACAGCCAGAACACATCAGGACAAATCGGCCAGTGAGTCAACCAACACTTTAATACAGGAGATCAACGCTGGTATCATGTGAAGTCCCATGACTTTCAACCCACTGAGCAATTAAAAGGGAAGGTACAAGAACAGAAGGTGTTGACGCCCACGGGACGACAGGTGGGGCAGAGCCCAGGGACCTCAGAGCAGCTTCAGCAGGAGGAGGCCTGTGAGGGCCAAGGAGAAGAGAGAGGCGTTGGCACCTGTGCGGGAACTGCTGGTGGCGGGTGTCCTGGAGGTTGTGCTGGAGGTGATGGTGACCGTGGTGGAGTTTACAGTGGGGGGGACCTCGGTGGAGTTTACAGTGGGGGGGACCTCGGTGGAGTTTACAGAGACATTGAATGCTAAACATTCAACCTTTCGGAAAATGACTTCTCCAACTGTCTGGTTCTCAACAGACAGGAATTCACAAGTAGAGTTGCTGATGCCAGAACAGCCTTTCAGCTCGACCGTGTTAGACTCTTCAGTTCCTGAAGATGCAAAGGAGATAGAACTCTGTGCAACGCTACCCTCATGCCCATACCACAGCCCACAGTGGGGTCTCATCTGGATGCAGCTGAGCAGCGGCCGAGCAACGTATGACAACCAGTCTGTTCCTAAAGCCCACCAGTCTGAAGGAGCCCAGAAACCGCACAAGAACCACCGAGGTCAGAGGCTAGACCCTCCTCCACCCAACCCGAAAGGAAACTGAGGCTGTGAGAAGAATTTGCAAGCACAGGCTTGAGAGGGAAGATGAGAGCTGGGTCCTGGATATCCATCTCCTGTGTGTCCTGTGCACCGTCGGAAAAGCTAGGGACAAGCTGGGCGTGGTGGTACACACCTCCAATCCCAGCACTGAGGAGGCTGAGGCAGGAAGAGAGTGAGTTTCAGGCCAGCTTTGGATACATAGGAAGACCCTATCAGAGAAAGGGAGAGAGAGAGAGAGAGAGACAGACAGACAGACAGACAGACAGAGAGACAGAGACAGAGACAGACAGAGAGACAGAGAGGAAAGAGAGAGACAGGAGAGAGAGACAGAGAGGAGAGAGAGACACAGAGACAGAGAGACAGAGAGAGAGACAGAGAGACAGAGACAGACAGAGAGACAGAGAGGAAAGAGAGGAGAGAGACAGAGAGGGGAGAGAGAGACAGAGACAGAGAGAGACAGAGAGGAAAGAGAGACAGGAGAGAGACAGAGAGGGGAGAGAGAGACAGAGACAGAGAGAGACAGAGAGGAAAGAGAGACAGGAGAGAGACAGAGAGGGGAGAGAGAGACAGAGACAGAGAGAGACAGAGAGACAAAGAGACAGAGACAGAGATACAGAGAGACAGAGACAGACAGAGAGACAGAGAGGAGAGAGACAAGAGAGAGAGACAGAGAGGAGAGAAAGACAGAGAGACAGAGAGAGAGGGAGACAAGAGAGAGGGGGATAGAGACAGAGACAGAGAGACAGAGACAGAGGAGAGACAGAGAGAAGAGAGAGAAAGAGAAGGGGAAAGAAGAGAAACGGAAAGAAAAAGAGAGAAAGAGAGCATAATCGCACAGGTGACAGGCTCAGAGGCAGTCCCCTCTCTCTCTGAATCAGTGGGGCGGGGGGGCCTGGGCCCCGCCTCCCTTCCCAGCATCTTCTTCCAGATCTCACTCTGGATCTAACTTAGGAGTTTTCCTAAGAGGGTGTGCAGGGTCAGCTTGGTGTCTTTATCTTGTCATAGCTCTGTTACATTGAACTGTTTTCAGATACAGGTTGTAGGAAAATGGCTACAGTCAAGATGTGATTATAAGAGCATCTTCCTCTGACCCTGTGTGGTTGCTATGCCCCCTGTGTGGTTGCTATGTGGCCCTGTTGACCTGTCACCCGCCACCCAAACAACCTTGGAAACATCAGTTCCTAGAGGACAGAGGGGACTCTAGGAGATGAAGGCCACCTGCATGCAGTCAAAGGCTTGCTCTCGACATGCTGTGAAACTGAACGAGAGACCTCCAAACCCCAGGATCCCAGGGGTCTCTACTGGGGTTGAGCTGTCAGGAAGAGTGATGCCCAGCACATCTCTACAGAGTTTTTAAAGTGATTTTGGACAAAAAAAAAAAAGGAACAAGAAAAGCTACATTTATGATCTGCCTGGCTTTTGGTTTCAGTAGGACTCTCCCGAGGAAACATCCATCCTTCACACCAGGGACACGGGGTGCAAGAGGAACAGAGACATTCCTTCTGATTAAGATGAAAAACCACAGCACTGTGAACACCTCAGGCATTTCAAAAGGAAAAAAGTTTTGCTGTGGTATGGCTCAGTGTTAAAACGTATGCTGGCTCGATATTCTTCGACAAAATGGTGGTTAGCATCGAGTGCTTTTGCAGAAAACTGTGACACTGACTATTTCTGCCAGATGACCCAGGCTGCCCCAAGCCAACACCTCTCATGACAGATAAGAAAAGGTGTAGGTATAAAAGGCACACCCACTCACACCTACTGGCCACCTAGTAAAGAACAAGTTCCAGGAGATGCCAGAGATTAGATAAGCATGGCTCACCCACCTGCCTTCCAGCACTGGGAGGCAGAAGCAGGCGGATCCCTGTGAGTACAAGGCCAGCCTGGTCTACATAGCGAGTTCCAGGACAGCTGGGGCTACGGGAAGACCCTGTCTCAAAAAGACCAGAAAAAAAAGAAAGAAAAAGAAAGAAAGAAAGAAAGAAAGAAAGAAAGAAAGAAAGAAAGAAAGAAAGAAAGAAAGAAAGAAAGGAAAAAGCACGACTCGGGTGTAACCTGGGAGGATCCAGGAGAAAGACTGCCACAGCGGCTCTGGGCTGGGAAGCAGAACAGTGCAGGTCTCCTGGCCATCTCTGCCTTAAATGCACTGGAGGCTCATCCTCCTTCCCTCTGTCCCCTCTACCCTCCCCAGCCCTTCTGCCCTAGCCCAGCACATGTGGGTCAAAGCTGCGTAAAGGAACTGATTCCAGACATACCGTTTGTAAAGTCAGCTATTATGTGGACACATCGTTGTCCCTCACCACACTGTAGTACTGTCTCGGTGCAGTTTGCTGAGTTGTATCCATAGCAAGCATTGCACTGGGTGTTGGTGACACTCTTTTCTGATTCAGGGTCTGGGTTAGAGAAACGTCATTTCTTAGAATAGTGTCACACAGAGCAGGCCTACCCTGGGGAGGAGGGGATGGGCAAGCAGGAAAGCTGACGGAGAGGATCTCAAATCCAGCCTTAGAGACACCATGTCTCCTCAAAATGTCTGCACTCACAACCCCACAGACCTGCCCCTACAGACCATCCAGTCTACAAGAACAGTGGTCCATGGGGCTCTGGGGCAGATACTGCAAGAGACAAGAAAGCGTTCAAGCTTGAGCCAGCATCAGCAGCAGGTCCCTGTTCTGAGAACTAGCCACCAGGTGTCTGACCATCACTGAGACTTGACCTGAGCAGATAAACATGGTCCATTTTCACACTGTGACTGGAACCAGGCTTCTCCTGACTGGATGTGCTTATGACCATGAACAACAAACTTTGCCTTTTCTGTCCACACTATTTTTTTTCTTCTAGACAATCACATCAGAAACTGTAGTCCAGGGACTCCTGGGTCCCTGGGACTCTGCAGGAAGTTCAAAAAGTAAAACCATTTTTATACAACACCAAGGTGTTATTTGCCCCTTTTTACCCCATAGCCTTCTAAGCATGCAATGGTGTTTTCCAGAAGTCCCAATAATGTATGAGGCTGAAACAGGCTAAATACACATGGTCCCAGCTTCCTTCTGTGCCAGAAGCTACAAAGCTCTACAAAAGAATATATTACAAAACGCCGCCTCTCATCTTGCTAAGCACTTTTGTTTTGGAAGATGAACCCATTTCTATGTAAAATTCTCATTAGTGTTGATATGTAACTACTGTTACTTTGAGTGAACTAATCGAGATTTGAGAATTTTCTTAGCTTTAGTTTCTAACTTGGCAAGTATTGGCAGGTGGCGATCATATAAACAAAAGATTTGTGAGATCTGCAGTTGTTGCCAAGACTTAGGGTCCTGCCTAGTAGCGTGTGTACCTGTAATTGCAGCACTCAGGAGGCAGAGGCAGGAAGATTGAGCGCAAGGTTATCCTCAGCTACATAGCAAGTTCAAGGCAAGCCTGGGCTACCTTAATCAAGACCCTGAGATCACAGAGTTTAAGACCAGCTAATGTATCTACTACGCTTGCCACATAAGTTGGCATGTATAATCCCGGTCCTCACTGAGGGCAAAGCTTTGCGGCAGGGCTGACTTAGTGTCTCCTGTGATTGTTCTAAGTCAGGGGTTAACATTACCCATCTGTGTACTAAAGTGCCTAGACTTGAGACCTCCACCCCAGGCCAAGCAGAGCAGGTGGAAGAGCAAGAGCTGGACTTGGAGGACACAGGCAGGTGGCCAGGGCCAGCACAAACCGTGGCTGCTGCCATTGCAGGCCTGTCCTTGGCAGCACTGACTTGCAAAATGGAAGCTTTGATTTTCAGACACGTTCACAGCAAAGGCCACCATGTCCCTGCTGCAGTTCTGTGCCGAGCAGAACTTGTTCCGGTACAGTGAGCTGTTCCCTCCTACAGCAAAGCAAACAGACTGTCAGTACCTGGAGAGGCTCCAGGGAGGGCGGGACCCCGAGGAGACAGTACCTTAGACAGGACCAGCTAAGTGCCACCTCAGCTCAGCGCAGCTTGGGAGAGGCTGGAGAGCGTTTCTTACAAAGGCAAGAATCCTTTCCTTATCAGATTAGCAGAAAGATGTGTTAAACTCTACCGTTACAGCTAACCTGTGGCCTGAGGGCCTCACATGGTCACATACAACCCAGGATAGCTGTAAACGGCCCAACACAAATTCAGAAACTTATTTATCACTGAAAATATCTTTTTTGCAATTTTTTAGCGCATGGTTCTCGAGTGCAAACTTTGTAGCTGATGACGTTGGGTCACAATGTCAAAAGTTGGGCATGTGTGCTAAACAGAAGGCACACCAAGAAATGGTGGTTCCAGCTGACACACGTATGTCCAGGTGCCTCGTGTGCAGCAAAACACCAAAGCGCCACCTACGGTTCCATCTTAGAACTGCATAAGAACCAGACCCCCAGCTATCTAATACAGAGCCACCAGCTCTATGTTTACATCAGATGTGGACTCATTAACAGAGTAAGGGATTGGGGGTGTAGCTCTGTGGCAGAGTGCTTGTCTAACAAGTGAAAGAGCCTGGGTTTAATCCACAGCACCCCAAAATAAAACAACCAAAAAATCAAGTAAAATTAGCCAGGCATGTTGGTGTACACCCATAATTCCAGCACTCAAAAGACTGAGGTAAGAGGATCACGAATTCAAGGGCAGCCTGGGCAAGTGAAAAAGACCCTGTTTCAAAATAAAATACAAAAGGGCTTCAGGTGTAGCTTGCTTAGCATGTGTGAGGCCCTGGGTTCAATCCCTGGTATCACACACACACACACACACACACACACACACACACATACACACACACACACACACACACACAAATTTAAATGTTTAGCTCCTTAGTCATACTAGCTATATTTCAAGTGCTTTGCAGCTGTGTGAAGAGCTGATAGGCCAGTACTGACGCAGACCAAATGTGGGGAACAGGGCCAGGTGTGGTGGCGCACACCTTTAATCCTAGCACTCAGAGACAGGGGCAGGTGGGTCTCTGTGAGTTTGGGGCCAGCCTGGTCTACATAGCGAGTTCCAGGCCAGCTGGAACTACTGGGAGAGTCTGTCTCAAAAATAAAAACAAAACACAAAAACAAAGAAGAACTGGGAAGGTGTGTGTGTGTGTGTGTGTGTGTGTGTGTGTGTGTAAGCATGTGTGGGTCAGAAGTCGACATCTGGTGTCTTCCTCAATTACTTTCCACCTCATTTTTGGACAGACCCACGTTAGCCTGTAGTTCACTGATTCTGGCCTGGCTGGCCAGCAAGCCCGTGGATCCCTCCTGCCTCTGTCCCCAGCGCTGGGTTACAGGTGAGTGCCACCACGCCTGACTTTGTACAAGGGTACTGAGGATTGAACTCAGATCCTCATGCTTGTGTGGCAAACACTTTACTGACTGAGCCATCTCCCGAGCCTCCCAAAAATAGAAAAAAAAATGATCATTGCTGAGAGGGGGCAGCCTACTGCACCCTTCTGATCATTGCTGAGACGGGGCAGTGTTTAGACGGCAGCCTACCACACCCTTCTTCAGGCTTTTGTGCACAGCGTTCTCGGTGATCCCAGAGACACTGTCATCATGATTACAACCAAAATGCCTGGTGAGGGGCTTTCAATGAAAACATGTTTGATCGTGAAGTGGAAGGAACCTGAGGTAGAAGGAGGGAATGGCTGGAAAAGCAGCAGTGACCCAGGAGGACGGACGACCCGCCTCAGAATTTAACAACTCAGAATGGCTCTCGCTTCCAACATCCACACACCCGTATCTAGAATGAGGTTTCAGTCAGTGGCCGCGATTTCCAGGTCACCACAGAGCTCATCTACTTGAGTCGTCTTTGGGTTCCCATCTGGCTCCACCTTGGCCACTGCAAAGTCAACGTCATGACCACCCGAATCCCTGCACAGCCCAGCAGGGTCTCTGGAGTCCTTCCTCCAAGCCCATCCTTTAGGTCCCACTTCATGCAGGTCTCTGAGGTGGAGGCAGCACCCACTCACCTAGGGTGGAACTGACGGAGGAATCCACACAGCTCTGGGCACTGGTGTCATTACATTCCATGACATCAGAAACACAGTCTTCTTCGCGTGCATAACACTGTGTACAATTCAGGGATTCTGGGGGCACAAAATATCCAGTACAAGTCAACATCTGGTAGAGTACTACAACCACCTCAGGAAAAAAGATGCAGATGGGGTGGCATCCCAGGCTCTGGGGACCCCCAAACTAAAGCTATGAGATGGACCTCCGCCCATTAGATTTTCCCCTCTGTTCATCATTCCCCAGCAGGAAGACCCAACCCCAACCCAAGACAGAGGGGGCCCTCTGAAGCAGGTGCACCATGGGTCTCACGCAACAGGAACCAGGACACCGAGAGCAAGAATGTTCTGACAGGGTGGAAAGAGGGCCTTCATCTGAAATGGGACCACTTGGTTTCTCTCACCTACAGCCGTGACAGCGAGTGCCACCAGGACACCAGCAAAAAGGGCACCTTTCATGGTGCTGGTTCTTGCTTCTCCCGAAGACAGAGCCCAGAGCCTCAAACCTAGAGGGACACAAAGAAGACAGCCAGGTGCTGGAAGGAAGGCCTGCCATCATAAGGCATTTTAAGTACACCGAAGCAAGTCTAGGTCCATTTTCCTGAGTCCTGCTGTACACACATAACTGTGAGTTGTGTTCTATCCTGCCCTGACCCAGGCTGAGGCTTCCCGATCTCAGATGCCCAGAAGTCCCTGCGCACAGATGAAGCCCAGCCGGGCATTTCCTGTGGAGCATCTTCAGCTGCCACTGGCCAGGTAGCCTGGCTTCCAGTCTCCCTGAGGCTGAGGTATGTATCTGTCAGATTTCTGTCACTGTAAAAATTACCTGAGATAATCAATGTATAGGGAAGAAAGGTTCCTTTGGGCTCCTGGTGTCAGAGGTGTCAGTAATTTGAACCCATAACTTTGGGCCTTTGTGGGAGCTCATGACAAAGGAGGTCTTTTCACCTAATGGCAGCAGGGAAATGGCAATAAAAAACGGAAGGGTCCCAACGTCACCTTAATGAGCTAATTTTCTTCCACCGCCCCCCAAGGTTCCAGCACCTCTAGCACCAGGCTGATAGCCAGACCTTTAACACACTGGCTTTTGTGGGACATTTAAGATCCAGATCCCAAAGTGTCACCCATCTCAGGGGGCCTTGGAGGGATGGACATAATGTAAATATAATACTCAGGCATGAAATTCTCAATAAAAATATTATATGTATATACACATATGTAATTTGTAAATTAGGTCGTCAAGAAGACCCGCTAGTCAACATTTGAGTGCCTTGGGACCAGTGAGCTAGCTCAGTGGGTTAAGGCATTTGTCTCCTGGTGACCTGAGTTCGATTCCTGGAACCCAAATGGTGGAAAAGGAGAATTTACTCTCCACCAGCTGTCCTCTGGCCTCCGCATGTACACTGGGGCACACATATACACTCAAACAAAATAAACAAAATGTAATATATATGTTTGGGGAGGGGGGTATTTTTGAGACAGGGTCTCCCTGTATCCACAGCTGGCCTGGAACTCATTATGTAGACCAGGCTGACCTTGAACTCACAGAGATCCGCCTGCTTCTGCCTGCCAAGTACTGGAGTTAAAGGCATGAGCCACCACGCCCAGCTGTATTTTTTTTAAGTGTCACCAATCTCCTGGCAAGCATTGCTTACCTGCTACTTGTCTGAACTAGATCTTTGGGGCTTGCTAAGTTCTCCCATGTTCATTAGGACACTCAACCACAGCTCCTGGGACTTCACCTTGCCTGTATCAGCACAGCACAGAAATTGAAATCTGCACAGAGTCTCCCTTCCCCAATCACTATCTCATTCACCCTCTAACTGGTGACTATGAGTCACATTAATCCACTCAAGATAGATGGCACACCTGTCTCTTACTCAAGACAGATAGATAGCACACCTGTCTCTCAGTACCTGAACAACCATTCAAGGCTCAGCGACCACATGTGGTGAGCAGCTGCTACTGGCCAGGGATGGCAGAGCATCTCCATCCCTGCAGGGTCCTAGTGCTACTGAGATGGGTTGGTGTCTCCACTCCACAGTTAAGAGTCTCGGGAATAACAAGTAGCCCAGGCTCATCAGCTTCTATGGCTCAAACCAGGACACACTCCAGATTCTTCTCTCTCTCAAGCCTGGCTGCACAGTCACAGTCACCACAGAGGCAGAGCTTCCCCTGGGGGGTGCAGACCCCCTCCTGCAAACCCCATACCACAGACCACACACACATCCCACCACCCAGCACACACCCAGGCTATTCACACTGCACGTCACATAGCAGTGTGACCTTCTGGATGACTTATTAGAGAGAAATTAGCCCAGTCAAGGGACAGTGTTTTCCCAGTGGCCACATGGTTCAGAGATCCAGAGGGCAGGGTGAATATCTCTTGTTTAGAGTACATGGTGGAGCCCGGACAAGTCAGGACCTGGCTGGTGCGCAGCCTGGAGAGGGTTTCCCAGTGGGACACAGGATCTGCTAATGACTTCTGTTGGCCAAAGGGACAGGGTCTCCCACAGCTCAGGTTGGCCTCAAACTGACTGTGTAGTCAAGGATAACCTTTAACTTCTGTTCCTCTTTCGCACCACCACACCCAGTCCATGAGGTGCTAGGGATGGACCAGCGTTCTGTGTAGCTTTTCTTTTCTTTTCTTTTCTTTTTCTTTCTTTCTTTTTTTTTTTTTTTTTTAATGCGTTTTTGAGACAGGGTCTCCCTGTAGCCCCAGTTGGCCTGGAACTCAGTATGTAGACCAGGCAGGCCTTGAACTCACAGAGATCCACCTGCCTCTGCCTCCCAAGTGCTAGGACTACAGGCATGTGTCACCACGCCCGGCTTGGTTCTGTGTATCTTAAGCAATTACTCAACCAACTGAGCTGCCTCCCGAGCCCCAGCACCGCACCTGCAAAGTTCGCTCGTGAAATCTTTCAACAGTCTGGCAGCGACCTGCTATAATTCCTCTTGTGTGTGAGAGAAGCCAGAGCTCAGAATTAACAGACCCCACGCCACAGGGAACAACCGAGAACACATTGCCAAGCACACCACACCCCCGGCCCCCGCCCCCACTCCAGCCTCCCCTTCCCGAGGATGGGGCAGCAGTGAGCAGCACTGGAAAAGAGCCTCGAGCAGGACCTGGACCCCACCAGGGCAGGTCTGAACTGCACTGAATGCCACCCATCCGGTTTCAGCTTCTCCCCAGGTCACCCCCAGCCTCAGGGCCCCCTCACCTTCTGTGTCCAGCCAGGGACACTGTCCCAAGGAAGGCAGATCCTGGCAAGGTGGAGCAGGTGTGAGACGAGGCCTTATATAGCAGGTGGCCATGTGATCTGTACGCCCAGCTGCCTCTGGGGAGGGGCCTCTGTGTGAGCTGGGCCCAAGCTTCAGGCTGTCCAACAACACCCTGTCCAACCATAGGAATTAAACAGCCTAACCCTTGCTCGGCCCCTGTGTAGGTGGTTAGGTGGTTCTCTCTTCTCTCTCTCTCTCTCTCTCTCTCTCTCTCTCTCTCTCTCTGAAACCTGCAAGAATTGGAAGTACTTACCTTTGACACAGTGCTCGAGAAGACACAGTGTGATCCCAGCATCTTCTGGTGCTGGCCCTAGCCCACTGACTCATGTCCACAGCCTGCAAGTTTCAGCGCTGTGTGTTGTCTTGATAAGCACAGTTTCCAGTTTCTGTACAAGCCCCACTCACAGATGAGGAAACCCAGTCGCAGAAGAAGAGCAGGACAGCAAAAACGCTGTTGCCCATGGCTGGGCAGAGAGCATTCAGGCCTCTGGCTTGAGTCACAGGAGGTCCACACAGCTCAGAAAGGGGCTCAAGTCCCCCAAGGCCCAATGTCTTAACCTCATTAAGACATCCAGCCAAGATGAGGCGAAACCCAGACCGTGATGGATGGCCATGCCCACAGTGGGATCTACACACAGGGGACTGGGTCCCCTCCCACAGCCAGGGCAGCTTCCTGTGCCCAGTCTGGGCAGCCACGATTGATAAGAGCCCAGGTCAGGAGCACTGACAACCTCCCATCTTCTCATGGGATGCTGTGGGCTCTCCTGCATGTACACACACACACACACACACACACACACACCACACACACCCACACACCACACACACACCACACACACCACACACACCACACACACACCACACACACCACACACACCACACACACACCACACACACCACACACACCACACACACACCACACACACCACACACACCACACACACACCACACACACCACACACACCACACACACACCACACACACCACACACACCACACACACACCACACACACCACACACACCACACACACACCACACACACCACACACACCACACACACACCACACACACCACACACACACACACCACACACACCCCACACACACCACACACACACACACCACACACACCCTACACACACACACACCCCACACATACCACACACACACCACACACACCACATACACACACACCACACACACACCACACACACATACACACAAACCACACACCACAACACATACACACACCCCACACACACCACACACACACCACAACATATACACACACCCACACACACCACACACACACCACACACATACATACACACATACCACATAAACACTGCACACACCACACTTAAACACACCCCACACACACACCACATACACACGCCACACACACCACTCAAACACACCACACACATACACCACACACACACCCCCACACACACACACCACACACACACCACACACACACCACACACACCACATACACACACACCACACACACACCACACATACACACCACACACACACCCCACACACACACCATACACACACACCACACACACACCACACAAACAGCACACACACCACACACATACACCACACACACACACCACACACACACCACACACACACACCACACACACACACCACACACACACACCACACACACACCACACACACACACACACACACAATGGAGCGGGGAAGCGCTTCTGCCCAGGATGACATTGAGGGGTGTGTATCACACCCATGCTCACAGCCTGAGTTCAAACATCGAAGTTCCTAGCTTTTAAAGTAAATACCTCTCAGTGGTTTTGCTCCCCCAGCTGTGGCTCAACAATCTCCCCCTTCCCCAAGCACATGCATTCAGCAGCTACCCTTGGGGCACCCTGCACATGCAAAGCTGCTCTAGGCATTTGAAAGCTGTGTGAGCAGAGACACAGAGACCTTTGAGCTCCTGGCCCGTCATCTAAAGGGGGAGACAGGTGTATAAATGCAGTAAACAAACACAATAGACAGAAAGATGAGGGGCAGGTCATTTGAGGGGTGCAGGGTTCCATTTTAAACAGAAACCTCAGATGTGTTTTGTGGGGCAGACAAATGTGAGTCATGTTTCTAAGAGGAGGCTCTGGCCAGGTCTTGTCCTCTCTGCCCCTGTCACACAGAATCCTG